AAAATATATACATATTTTATATGTCACAACATTTTAAAGAACATTTACAAATATAAAAATAAATATTCAGATTTCACGATATTTATATTTAGGTACATTATATTAAAAGTTACCATGTTTTATCCTATCTGTTTTGCTTGTCTAAGACTAAACTATTTTTATATAAGTTTACCAAAAATATAGAACACTGATATGTGGTTCATGTTTTCTGAAATCCAATTATCACACATTCAAATTTATTTTAACATTGCCAAGTAAAGTTTGTTCCACTATTGAAAAAAAACTTAATATGTCGTATATTTAAAAAGTTATTTTGACAGCGGGCTGTTTTAATAACTGATTTGATTTTTGTAATTTATTTTGTCACGCGAAAAAAGTTTTTATAGACCGACTTTTTACACATTTGCTGTTAATAACTGCAATGTTTAACCAATTTATAATATCGCTTTAACTTAACACGTGGAATTGTTTGTGATGTCGCAATAAAGTTTTTTTTTAAATATTTTTGTTTTATTTACAATTCTTAGTTATATAAGTGGCATTGTATCTTTTATAATTTTCCAAAGAGCAGTACTGCAGCATCAGACTGCGGTGTTGTACTCTGGACGAAAAAGTAATAAAGTAGTTAATACTTTATTACTTTTTAAGTAATCAGTAGGGAATTTCCGCTCGCTTAATGAGGAATCATTAAACAAATTATTTACATTAACTACTGTTTGGTGTCTAGAAGTTGCAATGAACCGGTCATATGACATTGAACCGTCGATATTTTTAGTCAGTGTCGCCGTTGCTCCGACAATTGGGCATATTTATAAAAATCAACGACCTATAGCAGCATCTCCATCGTCGCAGCAACCTACGGCATGTCTCTAATGGTATGCAGGGTTTTTATTTCATTTATAAGTTTATTAAATACTGCTTAATTTTGCTGCAGGCATATCATGGTTATAACACCAATATGTCGAATCGACCGGTGGAGGACTCTCACAGAATACCAGCATAAAATAAAATAGCAGCTTAATAATGCTGTTTCGTATGGTGTGTACTCTTTTTTACTAATAACGAGGCATTCCATATTAGTCTTGGGTGAAAACGCATCCACATTCTGATTCTTAATCGAGGATTTGATGTAGATGTCTAGGTAACAGCATCCACTTACCATCAAGTGTTCTCGGTTTGATCGTTTGTCACCTTTATTGTATAAAAAGAAATCGAAATCAAAAAGTGGAAGCCATGTACGAACTTGTGCCGAAAGACGTGGACGACCGCCGTATCCTGTCAATTTACAAGTAGATTCTCGAGTGCTTCCAACAGACCCTCAAGCACACGTAATGCTGCTGAACGTTAAGCGTGTTTCAAAAGACGGTGAAAGCTACTTTACATACATGGCTTGCACCTATACCATTTTGGACGCATCTAACTTGTGATCAATAATCGCCGCCCACGTGTAGATTTGGTCAGTGACATTCTATTTACGGACGAAGCTACCTACCATCACCAGGTGATCTATAATTTACACGTAAACATTGTGAGTCACCAAAATCCATATCCGACGTGACTATATCCTTACAAACATCGGCTTAGGGTGAATGTGTTGGCCAGCATTCGTTTTCGTCGTTTATTTATTTTTTTCTTTATACTATACGGCAATCGAAAGAATTATATTAGGTAGAGAATGATCAAAAAAGAACCATGTCTCGTTGCCATCGTTTATCACTGGCAACACGCACTGGCTGTTTCGAGTAGTAATAGAAAAGATGCGTCCTAATATTGTATTGTGTTCTCGCTTAATAGCGGACACATAGTAAGTGAAACAGTAGGTGCCATGAAACGACTATACACTTGAAAGTATAAGCTAATTTATACTCTTTAAACAGTTATGTTTCCAACTGTTCAGGCGTGTCACTTTGTAAAAATCTGAGGTATGGAAAATGGTGGCGCGATTTTCAAATTTGTTCGCATTACTCGTGGGGTATTAAGGTTTAAGAGTTTGCAGTGTATATACTCAACTTATTTATTGAACTATAAGATGTGGGGTATTGAGGTTTAAGGGCTTGCGATTTATTTATATGGGGTTTGTAGTAATATGCGATTTATTTCCTAATTTCAGCTATGGAATTCCATACCTTGAAAAACTTGAGGTATGGAGTGCTCCATACCTTCCATAGTGGAAGTGACACCCCTGCAACTGTTTACAACTGGTTCCAACAAGCGTCTCCACCGAGGGAACAAATGTTGCCAACAAGCATATTCCTTTGATGTTTTGCCGCCGAAAATGGAAACAAGTTTTGTTGGCAATTGTTGTGTTGGCAACAAAACGTTGGTGGAGACGCGGCTTAAGACTATACATGTCAATCGTGAACAGCATCGAGCTAAGTAACTAAAAATGACTGTACCTTTATATACATGTAAATTGTAAACATATGACTAACTCGACCGCCATCGTTAAAGGTACTTTTGACTGCCTCGTTGCGTTCGAATCGCGTTTTGGGCCCAAATCAGTTGTTACGTTATTCGGTCAAAAAATTCTCAGCAGCAGCCTGCCAGCAACCTATACATATTTTCCAAACGGATATACATTATACAATGATAATAGAGAGCCTAATAAATACACAAATTTAGATTTCTAAAACAGAATATTGCAATTTATGTAAGCTTGATCAACACAAATACGTGGGTAGGGTTGCTTTACAATATAGTTTCTTTAGTTTCCATCTCCAATGTGTGGGAGACCCATCAGAATACGTTCTCGCGCTTTGATTTGTTGAACTTATCTAAATCGCAGAACATTCATACCCCTAGTACGGGAGTTAATCATAAGTACACATGTTTTGATTCCCATGAAAATACCTCTCACACCACATACACTAATGCATTTACAAAGACGATATAATAATTTAAAAATTTTACACAACCGACTGCAATATAAAGTAATAGGAGTAACTTAAAAACTATTGGTCAGACCTTGATCAAATTTATATGGGACCACACAAGAAGCACCAGCTTTCAAGTAAAAAAAAAAATGATCGAAATCGGTTCACCCAGAAAAAGTTGAGGTAACACACAAAAAAAACGTACAGTCGAATTGCGTACCTTCTCTTTTTTGAAGTCGGTAAATAAAAGGGTTGGTACCAAATTTTTGCGACGATAAAATTAACCGGTTCAGTGCGGGTGACACGCCAGGCGTGCCATCGATTACTTTTGTGTGTGGCGTATGACACGCGAGTCGTGTCTTTTTAAAAATCGTTATAACTCGCTCATAATTGCTTTTTTGGAAAATTTATCCAGAACAAAATATTCATTATTTTGCGAGTAGTTCATGCATGCAGCTTCGTTTCTGGATACTTTGAAAATTTGAATTTTTAGGGGTTAACAACCTTTTTTTAACGTGTACATGGTACTATTTTTACTTTGTGGGTTTTAAATCATGTTATGGAAAAATTGTCTAATAAGTAACAAATAATAGCACTCATTGCGATCGCTCACAAACTCAAGTTGTAAATTTTCTGGAAAACAAGTCTCCTGTTAAAAAAAACAATGCGTTTGTCTTATTGTTTAATTTTGCTTAAAATTGTTGAACTGCCGTCTTATTACTATCATATGGCCGAATATACCTACCAAGTACCATGTGCTCTTGTGATATGGTATAAGGTTTATTTTTGCTTGAAACAGTTCGAAACCGTTCATGCATAAAAAAAGTTCGCTAATAAATAGTCTTTTGTCAATCCGCCGCCGTTTTTTTCCTTTTGAAAACACTTGTTTTGCTATTCTTACTAATTAGACGTTTTCAAATCGACTTTACTTTTACATTTGTATAACATTAAATAATTTTTAACATTTGTAAATATCAATGAATGATATACCTACCTTTTTTTTTTCAAATTAAGGTTCTTCAATGTTTTGATATTTACAAATGTTATTATTAAGTGAAAATTTAATTTAATAAAAACCAAGGTTTCCAGGGTGATTTAGCTGTACCTACTTATATAAATGATTTTTTATAACAACAATAGTACAAAAGGTTTGTAATCTCTTCATAAAAAAGTCACTTTCAATTTCAAAGAAAACGCGTAAAAGAGCACGTAGTTACCCACTAAAAACAAGTATCCTTCCATTTGTAACTTGTTTGATGTCAAATAAACTTAATTAGGTCTAAACAAGTAAAAAAGCATAAAAAAGAACATTACTTTTACAAATGGCGGATGGCACAATAGGCGTGTCATTTTTGAAATGACACGTCTATTGTGCCATCCGCCATGTGTAAAAGTAATGTTCTTAGAATGAGACGTTGAGATTTCCATATTTTCCAGATCTACCAATTTATCTTACATATTGGCTCATGAATATAATAATCATTCGGCAATTTAAATTACAAGTATGGAACTGATTATATGGATTTAAATATTTTTCATTACCTATGTACTTATTATGTAATGTTTTTGTCCAATAAAACCTAGCATCCAGTGGATTGATTGCCCGCCTTTTACCAACTTAACAAATTTTACAACTTGCATGATTTATGATTTAACTTAAACTTCGCCTAAATATGTAAAAGCAAAATACTTTGACCGTCGAACCTTCTCATCAAAGAACTTGTAAACATTTTCAATTCCCATGGTAATTTAATTATAGGTGTTTTTGGAAAGCTAAAGGCAAAAACATGCATCAATATGAAAGTACTGTGTACCGGTTTCATGTGAATGTATACTTTTACCACGGTACCTCATTTAGTTATGCATATATATGTTGATATAATACAGAAAATTCCACGAATGCAAAATTTTAAAATTGTTTACAAAAGAAGCAACGATTTTGTACCAACTACGTTATGTAGGGAAATAGTAAGAGTACCTATGTGGCTTTATTTTTAGAATGTTACGCTACTCTACATCCAATCCTATATTGGTTCTATTTATGTACGTAGGTCAATGTCGAGCATTGCACTCTATACGTAACGTCATATTGTTGACTAGCTTTGGGGTAGAATAAAACGTCAGGTTCAATTTTACGGATTTTTTTATGTATTTTCATTATCTTTTATAATTTATAAATGACCTAGTAAGAAAGTAGTCTTATCCGTTTCAGCACATACAATCATCATTCATGAGATTACAAAAAGATCCTTTGGCGAGTGCAGTACCGAGGCCGGCGGTCGAGGCGCGCCCGCGGTGCCGCGCTCCGTCCTGCCGTCACTATTTACGATTTAATTACATATAATATCTTACGTACAATTAAATTAACGGAGATTACAAGCCTGAGTTGAGCAGCCGGCCGCGGGTCCGGCCGGGCGGCGGCGACACACGGCCGCTTAGAAGCACTTCCTGTGCACGATCGAGGGGCCCGACTCGTCGTACTCCTGCTTCGAGATCCACATCTGTTGGAAGGTCGACAGGGACGCGAGGATGGAACCTCCGATCCATACGGAGTACTTCCTCTCCGGGGGTGCAATGATTTTGATCTTCATTGTGGAAGGAGCGAGCGCTGTGATCTCCTTCTGCATACGGTCGGCGATGCCGGGGTACATGGTGGTACCGCCGGACAATACTGTGTTGGCGTACAAGTCCTTACGGATATCAACGTCGCACTTCATGATCGAGTTGTACGTCGTCTCGTGGATACCGCAAGCTTCCATACCCAAGAATGAGGGTTGGAATAGGGCTTCAGGGCAACGGAATCGTTCATTACCAATCGTAATGACTTGACCGTCGGGAAGTTCATAGGACTTCTCGAGGGAGCTGCTGGAGGCAGCGGTGGCCATCTCCTGCTCGAAGTCGAGGGCGACGTAACACAGTTTCTCCTTGATGTCACGCACGATTTCCCGCTCGGCTGTGGTGGTGAATGAGTAACCTCGCTCTGTAAGGATCTTCATTAGGTAGTCGGTGAGGTCACGGCCGGCCAAGTCCAGACGGAGGATGGCATGGGGCAGCGCGTAACCCTCGTAGATGGGCACTGTGTGTGAGACACCGTCACCGGAGTCAAGAACGATACCGGTGGTACGACCGGACGCGTACAGTGACAGTACAGCCTGGATGGCCACGTACATGGCGGGTGTGTTGAAGGTCTCGAACATGATCTGAGTCATCTTCTCTCTGAAAAAAAAAGGGCCGCGGTTAACCAGCTGTCTTTAAGAATTCATAAAATTATCACTGGATCATTAATTCTCCCACGACCTACCTGTTGGCTTTGGGGTTGAGGGGAGCCTCTGTGAGCAGAACGGGGTGTTCCTCGGGCGCGACTCGGAGTTCATTGTAGAAGGTGTGGTGCCAGATCTTCTCCATGTCGTCCCAGTTGGTGACGATACCATGCTCGATGGGGTATTTGAGGGTGAGGATACCTCTCTTGCTCTGTGCTTCATCGCCCACGTAGGAATCTTTCTGTCCCATACCCACCATCACACCCTGATGGCGAGGGCGACCCACAATTGAGGGGAATACGGCACGCGGTGCGTCGTCGCCCGCAAAACCGGCTTTGCACATACCGGATCCATTGTCCACTACCAGCGCGGCAACTTCTTCGTCGCACATTGTGAATTACTTCTGTAAAAAACATTTAAGTTTAATTTCATGAAAGCATTTGCCACGTTTTGAAAAAATTACTATTTAAATGAAATCCAATTTAAAAGTTAAGTCAAAACCCTTTTGAAATATCTATATATGCAGTGGGCGAACAAGATACCATTGTATGATAATATGCAGTGGGCGAAGTTGCAAATTGAAACCAAATAAGGCCGGGTCTAACGAGAAGCCACGAGGAGGGGACGTGGCGTGGTTGACATGGCAATTTTAAAACTAGAAATCATTTTAGATTTTCATTACGAAATACTGTTATTTCCCAATTCCCTAATGAAAATAAAACATAAGATTCAATTAAGACTCATTGAACCCTTTTGAATCCGGACCACGCCCTACCGCAACCGGCATCCCGGGGTGTCGGCGTTAATTCGCGGTCGACCGACCTATCCCTGTGTCACTGACCCACATGCACTATAGCACTATTACTTTAATCACAACCACAAATAGATTCACTCACAAATAAATCACATCATAGTATCAACTTACTTTAAATTAAATAGTCCTATTAAATAAATAAGTTATATCTCTAGTGTACAGCCTCGGTAATGCTGCACTACACCTCAACTCGAGCACACTTCGTGGAATGTCGGCGATCGAGGCAAGCTGAGTATATATGAGGCTGGTTATCGGGCTCCCCTACCCGCGACCGCGTCGAGCTCTCCACCAATCGCACAAATCGTGAGTTTTCATAACCATATATGGTATTGCGCTGCAGGGAGCCTGCGCGTCCCCTCCGCGGCCCCCGGCCCTCGCTCAGCGCCGGTTGATAGCACGCTTCTTGTTCTTGATAACGAAATCCCAACCAGAGTGATCTTTACTTAAACAACACTTAAATTTAGTCAAATAACTCGCACCTCCGATTCTCTACTGTACAATTATTCTAAGCTGTACAAGTGTTATCCGCGCTACTTCAAAATTTAGCCACATACAACACATACACACCTAATATAGTCAAATTACAATATTTATTTTAAATAAAAAACTATTCTTGTTTTTGTAGTACCAGAGTAATTAATTATATTAATGGTAAAAAATAAACTACTTGATTATGAATGAGGTCTATATATGTAGAACTACTCAAGGTCAGGGACTCGAGCTCTCCCACGAACTACAAATGAATATAGGTACCTAATCAAAGTGAGTTACATACCAAAGCATTATTATAGTCATTACAAAGATAAATTACTTATTTAAACAAATTTTGTACAATTGAATAAAACTTTAATGTTACCTATACAATATAATGACTTACCAGCAACAAAAAAAACAATACTTCAACAATTAATGATTTGTGAGAAATGCCGGCCAGCCAGTTACGGTTCTTGTCGCTCGTTAGCGGAGGTCGATCTCGATCTGCTTCAATAGAATCTACCGGTACGCCAGCGCTGCGAAATTATCGACTCGTCCAACGGACCCCTGTGGGTTGTGGGCTGTGGGTGTTTAATAATTTAAAAATTTGACAAAACCGTTCATCGATAATTCAGAAATAAGTTGCGAAATGTCACTTTAAATAGTTGTATTGACAATTGACAATATGAGATGTCACATAATTGTTATCTTTTTAAATTAAGAATCTTTACTTTATGACTTATTTTTAATGGACTCGACCGATCTCCCCACTCGCAGCAACCGACGGTTTTACCATATATGGGCATAGGGAAAATCCTGTGCTCTGATTGGTTCTCGCTACAACGGTCACCGCAAGTATAGTACGTAATACACACTCACACGTATAAAATAAGCTAAGTTGCGTTTGTGTTTGTGTATAGTAACAATATGATTGACTATTTGACAATTCATTCAACCCATGCCGTAGCGATATTGTGGTTATAATATGAACAAATTATGAATGCCGCATTCACCTCTACACTTTCCGGTGTTCACCGTACTCTTTATTTTGTTTAAGTAAGTATTTAACTCTATTCTGTCAGCTGATCGTTTTTTTTTTACATATTAGCTTTTTTTTTGCAGAATAACGTAGAAATAGAAGAGAACTATTATATTATTATATCAAAATAAAACAGGTAGTAATGAATCCAATTTTCATTTTGTTTTCATCTTCTAGTTTCTATTAATCCAATTTTAATTTATATATGGTATTTTCCCACAAAATGCCTATCCATTTTTTTCCTAATATGTTGTAATATTTTTGAGACTAGATGATCTTATCCAGGCCGGACCACAAAGCATGACAATTAATTGGATATTAATGAACATTGAACAACTCTAAAATGCAATTGAATGCTTAGTCATTTGTCTTTGTCTCTGACGAATTACGCTTGAGATTATTTATTCTGTGGCTTGAGTGACTCATACCATTACAATACATACATAGACTGGCGCATGGGCGCATGCGTAGTGTGTAACTAATAACAACGGCGAGCGATGAGTGTCCTCGTTCCTCGTCCTCGCGCGGTGGACCCCTAGCGATGTCAACCTCCGCTTCCGAATTTGAGTGCGTAGCACTGTGGAGGTCAAGGACACGAGTTAGATTAAAGATTGAGATTACACACCAACAGCGTGGAAAAACGGCATAATGTTCTTGTTTCGAATAATGAGTGACGAGGACCGAAGCCCCAATGACTTATGATAACGATCTAACGGGGGCATCTATTTCTATCTTATTTTAAAAAAAAAGGTGAAGTAACAAACAAACAAACCGTCTACCTAATAGAAAGTGGCTACCGCAGTCTTTGGACACCTGTTACCAACTTCAAACGAAGAAGGCCACAGATGCGTTGTCACATCTGAGTACCTACTAATTACATGGTAGAGCCATGCTGCAGCTGTATTAGTAGTATAGTTATAGCACGAATGGGTCGGCTCGACCGGGGAAGGACCACGCTCTCACAGAATACCAGCGTAAAATAGCAGCTTAATACTGCTGTGTTTCGTATGGTGAGTGTAGAGAACCGGAGACCCTTTTTACTGGTAATGGTAAAGGCAATGCATCTTAGTCCTCACGGGTGACAACGCATCTGCATTTTTATTCGCAAACGAGAATAGATGTAGAAGTATATGGGCACAGCAACCACTTACCATCAGGTGGACTGTGTACTCGTTTGTCAACCTATCCTATAAAAAAAAATAAGTTGGAAAGCCTCACAGCTTGTAAGGTCAGGTGGGGTAAGAGGAACATACTTTATTTTTAGTAAAATATTTTGAGTGCTAGAAAGTACAGCTAAAGTCTTTTAAGATCTTTGAAACACACAAAACTTGCCTTTATGTATTAGCTTCCCAGGGGCTAAATGTCATTACGCTATTATCAGTTCTTACGACGATATTGACGTAAGTGTCAAGATTAAGTAAACGTTCCTCTTCCCCCTCACATGGGGTCATTGTATTTCTTAAGATTGAAGTTTGAGTTAAAATATTGGTTGCTAAATATTCGTTACTTTGTAGGTAGAACTGCTTCGGTCAATATTAGATCTTACAATCGATGAATGTATGAAAGATGAAGATGAAGTATCATTTGGAATGAAAAAGAAATAACATCGATTCGGGGTAAGAGGGACATACAGGTTCGATCAGGGGTAGCCAACTAAAAAATAAATTGACGAGTTATATTTCTGTATTTATTTAATCATACAAACAGTAATAATAAACAGTCTCTCCCGAACCCACTTAGTTACTCTTTAAAAATAACAATGGCACTATGTAACGAGATCAATATTGCGAATCAGTCTTTTAATTCTTATAAAATTCCTGCAAAAATCAAAAGTGCTATATTATAACCAAATATTACAAATAAAAAGAAAGGTATGTATACAAAACGAATGAAACTTTATTTATCTAAACTAATATAATAAAGAGAAAAGATTTGATTTTTTATTTGTTTGTTATGATTTAGGCAACTCAAAAACTAGAAGACCGATTTAAAAAATTCTTTAACACATAGAATACTGCATTATCCCTGAGTTACACAGGCTATAAATTATACGATAAAACGGCAATTTACGAGAAAGTTAAGTTACACGCGGACGAAGTCGCGGGACATTTCTAGTTTAGTTATGATTTAAAATTGTAGTAGGTACAGAACAGTCAGTCAATTTTTTCATTTTATCTGCCTATAATTATAAATTATTCAAAATGTGTGTTACCCCTGACATGGGGGAAGAGAAACATATTATGTTCCTCTTTCTCCGTGAAGAGTGAGCCTCTTACCCCAGCTATTGTTTTAGGAGGTTAGGATTTTCAAGCGAAAGAAACTCATATTATTAGTTGTTTTTAAACTAAAATGATTAATAAAAATAATTAATTACAATTTTCCTTGTGTATCATTACATTTAAAATATTTTCAGCACTCCTTTTTTCACGAAACTATTGGTTCGCAAAAAACCCGCTAACTTTGTGCTAGTCGAATTCACTACTGTCAAAAGTGTCTTCATTTTTTGTGGCTTCTGAGTCACGTAGCAACATCTATCGAAAACCGTTCATACTATTTCACCTTCACTGTTTTATCGAAGGAAAGTCCATAGTCATAAACACTTCGGTTTACTAGTTCTGGTTCCTATTCCCTCTTCCCCCGGTGTCCCTCTTACCCCACCTGACCTTAATTAATAGTATTTCAGATCGAATCGAATCGAATTAAATAGAATTAGGTAAGAGGATGGTATCTAGCCAGACGAACTTTTACGTGAGAGGAAGTCCTACAACTACCACCTAGTAAGAGATTAGTATAAGTGATTAGTCCGGAGAGGTGACAACGAATCTACATATTAATTCTTAACCGAGGATTCGTTCCACAACCTTAACTTACCATCAGGTAGACTGTGCTCATTTCTCGCATATATTTCTATAAGAATACTTGCATACAATTTATATACGGCAATCTAGTTTTAAAATTTTATTTTATAGAATAAGCGTGACAAACGTCCACACAATCCACCTGGAGGATGCTGTGGCCCATAGACATCTACATCTATCCTTGATTAAGAATGAAAATGAACTTTTTGCAGTAAAAAGGTTATCTGGTTCTATATACTCCCCATCGTTGATACGCTGGTATTCTGTGAGAGCGTGGTCCTTCCCCGGTCGAGCCGACCCATTCGTACAACCTAATATAGCTGCAGCATAACTACCACGTTAAAGTAACTATATAAGAAATAAAGATCTATATTAACATAATTATTTATTGTGCTTCTGAATGTAGGTATGTACCTACCTACCTACATTAAGTTTAACAATAAAAAAATGTTGTTTTAACTGAGGATTTATTATGCACTTAGTTTCCGCTCTAAAACCAATAGATCACACAATGAGTCAACGGAGGAAACTCGATACAAAGGTGTAGAATTATAAACGCCATTGTATTATAAAATGTATTCGGTGACGGAATACATATTATCATGTTTTTGAACTGAGTCATTAATATGCATAGAGATATTATGAACTACGTACGTTAAGTACATTAATTATACTTCAGCTTCAGTGTTAATATGATATAATATGTTTTCCTTCAGTGGGGGCGTTCGACGTGACTCCTGCCATAATATTTGTTTTGGCACCTAGATAACCATCTTTAGATATGTCATCACAGAATAAATATTAGTACAAGAAATATCATGATGTATTATTTTGCTTTTGGCAATTTTCAATGGCTCCGTGGCACAGTGGCTTAGCAATGAGTTGCAGCGGTGGGAGCCGCGGGTTCGAATCCCGCACGGAACGGGTATTTGTATGGCCTACAAATAATTGTTCCGGGTCTGGATGTTTGCCCTTGTGCAATTTATCTTTGTAAACTGCCTCCACGATACAGGAGAAAATCCTAGTGTGGGGCGTAAAAGGGTTAGTGGGTGGGTGGTCGTACTCAGACGTAAGTACTTCTAGGCAGAAAAGAAATCGATCGACTATACAAATGTACAGTACAGTCGATCTACTACTTTTCTGCGTTTTCAATTTCTGTAATCAAATTCTGTAATTTTCAATTAAAGTTCAAAAGAAAGTGTGTATAATTCGTAGTACTACAAAATATATTGCATGTTCAATTTTCATTCTTGTGTTTGGCTGGGCTTGGCGCAACTCGACGGACGCACGCGTCTAGCCGGGCTGGGTGGGACATAGTAGGGGTGAAGTGAAGGCGGGAGGGGAATCGATCGTTCGCCTGCGCGCCGCGGATTCGCCCTTGACCCTCGCCAAGTCGTCTCACACCCGTGCCGTGCCACACCACACTATTGCCCGTTCGAACTATTGTTTTATTCTGTCTATACCTTTACTATCGTTTATTCTGTGCCATGATGAAATGATGATGATGATACCTTTACTATCGTTTATTCTGTGCCATAGTGCCTAATGCCTGTTTTTATTTTTTACTATACTTAAATAATTTAAAATTAAAAGAAATTCTACAACCGAC